TTGACAAATAGGTTTAAACTGAACCTAATCCAGTCTCTAGAGCAGGAGTTCACAAACTTCAGCCTGCAGGCCAAATCCAGCCCACTGCCTTATGTGTAAGTAAAGTTTTATTGGAATACAGCCACACACATTCAATGGTGTATTGTCTATGCATGCTTTTGCACTACAGCAGCTGACTTAGTAGTTGTTGCTCCACAAAGCCAAAAATTTTTACTATCGAGAAAGTTTTTTTGATCCCTGCTCTTATAGACCTAACTTTCAGTCAGTGTAAAATACAGAGAACAAAAGAACAAATTAAATGGCATCATGAGGAAACAATGAGACAAACAATGGGGCATTCAACAAGACAATTTGCCTGGTTTCTTCAAAAGTCAGTAACATAACTACAATTTGCTCTAGATTAAGAGGAAAAAAAAAGCATAACAATTAAATTCAGTATGTCAATTTTAGTGGGACTCTGGTTCTGATTTTCAGCTATAAAATATATTTTGGAGATAATTGGGATAATTTGAACATGTATCAGATATAAATATTCTTATGGGATTGTTGTTCCTCTTTTGGGATATAATAATAGTATTGTGGTTATGTAGAGAATATTCTTGTTCTGAGAATTTGTTGAGGAAATATTTAGAAGTGAAGTGTCATTATGTCTGCCACTACCAAGTGTTTTACCAAAAAAATATATACATGTGTGTATAAGATTGAGAGAAATTTTAAAATGTGACCTATGTGAATAATTATTGAATCTAGGTGGAGGGTATATGTGATGGTTAATTTTATGTGTCTACTTGGCTAGGCCAGAAAGCCCAGTTGTTTGGTCAAACACTAGATGCTGTTATAAAGTAGTTACATGTAATTAAATCCATTGGCTTTAAGTTAAAGAGAATACCCTTTGTAATGTGGGTGGGCCTCACCCAATCAGCTGAAGATCTTAAGACCACATAAGTCAATTTCTTAAAATAGTTCTCTCTCCTGCTCAGTTTCTTACTTGCTCACTTGCTCTTGCTCTCTCTCTCCAACTCTCTTCCCTATTCCAACTCCTCTCTATGTTTAAAACTTGTAAATAAAAGGTGACAGAAAAGTAAGTAAATACATTAAATGGTGATTGACTCATTAAAGAAATACCCTCACAAATTCCTAGATGTCCAGATCAATGCCTTTTCCTCTGTACAAAACTAATTTTGGTAACAGATATTTTATAAGACTATAAACTTGTGTGGCTACACAGTGATTAAAATGTTACAAGAAAATGGAAGAAAGTTTACTTCTACCTGTTGTTGTCGTTGCTGTTGTTGTTGTTGTTAGGTGCCATAGAATCCATTCCAACTCATAGCGATGCTATCTACAACTGAACGAAACAATGCCTGGTCCTGCACCATCCTCATAATCCCTGCTATGTTTGAGCCCATTGTTGCAGCCACTATGTCAATCTATCTCATTGAAGGTCTTCTCCTTTTTTGCTGACCCTCTACTTACCAAGCATGATGTCCTTCTCCAGATACTGGTCACTCTTGATAACATGTTCAAAGTATGTGAGACAAAGTCTTGATATCCTTGCTACTAAGGAGCATTCTGTCTCTACTTCTTCCAAGACAGATTTGTTCATTCTTCAGGCAGTCCATGGTATAGTCAATATTCTTTGCCAACACCATAATTCAAAGGCGTAAGTTCTTCTTCTGTTTTCCTTATTCATTGTCCAACTTTCACATACATATGAAGCAATTTAAAATACCATGGCTTGGGTTAGTTGCTCCTTAGTCCTAAAAGTGACATCTTTGCTTTTTGACACTTTAAAGGGGTCTTTTGCAGCAGATTTGCCCAATGCAATGCGTCATTTGATTTCTTGACTGCTGCTTCCACAGCGTTGGTTGTGGATCCAAGTAAAATGAAATCCTTGACAAATTCAATCTTTTCTCTGTTTTTCATGATATTGCTTATGGGTACAGTTGTGAGGATTTTTGTTTTCCTTAAGGTGAGGAGTAATCTCTACTGAAGTCTGCAGTCTTTGATCTTCATCAATAAGTGCTTGAGCCCGCTTCACTTCCAGAACGCAAGGTTGTGTCATCTGCGTATCGAAGGTTGTTAGTGAGTCTTCTTCCAATCCTGATGCCATGTTCTTCTTCATGTAGTCCATCTTCTATGATTATTTGCTCAGCCTACATATTGAATAAGTATAGTGAAAGGATACAACGCTGACACACGTTTCCTGATTTTAAGTCACGCTGTTCGAATGACTGCCTTTTGGTCTATGTACAGGATCCACATGAGCACAATTAAGTGTTCCGGAATTCACATTCTTTACAATGTTACCCATAATTTGTTACAATCCACACAGTCGAATGCCTTTGCATACTCAATAAAACATAGGTAAACATCTTTCTGGTATTCTCTGCTTTAAGCCAGAATTCGTCTGACATCAGCAAAGATATCCCTTTTTCAAGTCCGCTTATGAATCTAGCTCAAATTTTTGGCATTTCACTGTGAATGTACTGCTGCAACTGCTTTTGAATGATCTTCAGCAAAATTTTACTTGTATATGATATTAATGATATTGCTCCATAATTTCCACACTCCACTGGACCACCTTTCTTTGGAATAGATGCAAATATGGATCTCTTCCAGTCAATTGGTCAAGTAGCTGTCTTCCAAATTTCTTGGCATAGACAAGTGGGAATTGTCAGCACTGCATCCATTTGTTGGAAAATCTCAATTGGTACTCCATCAATTTCTGGATCCTTGTTCATTGCCAATGCCTTCAGTGCAGCTTGGAATTCTTTCTTCAGTACCACAAGTTCTTCATCACATACTACCTCCCAAAATGGTTGAATATCAATCAATTCTTTTTGGTACACTGACTCTGTGTATTCCTTCCATCTTCTTTTGATATTTCCTGCATCGTTTAACATCTTCCCTCTAAAAACTTTCAATATTGCAACTCAAGGCTTGAATTTTCTCTTCAATTCTTTCAGCTTGAGAAATGCCAGACGTGTTCTTCCCTTTTGGTTTTCTAACTCCAGGTCTGCACATTTCATTATGATATTTTACTTTGTCTTCTCAAGCCACGCTTTGAAATCTTCTGTTCAGCTCTTCTACTTCATCATTTCTTCTGTTCACTTTAGCTACTCAACGTTTGAGAGCAACTTTCAGAGTCTCTTCTAACATCCATTTTGGTCTTTTCTTTCTTTCCTGTCTTTTTAATGACCTCTTGCTTTCTTCATGTGTGATGTCCTTGATGTCATTCCACAACTCCTTCATTCATTAGTGTTCAATGCATCAAATCTATTCTTGAGATGATCTCTAAATATACTCAAGGTGGAATATACACAAGGTCATACTTTGGCCCTCATGGACTTGTTCTAATTTTCTTCAGCTTCAACTTGAACTTGCATATGAGCAATTGATGGTCTGTTTCACATTTGGCTCCTGGCCGTGTTCTGACCGAGGATATTGATATTTTCCATCAAAGCATAACGATTATGAGGATGGCCCATGACCAGGCTTTTTTTCGTTCTGTTGTACATAGGGTCGCTATGAGTCAGAACCAACTCCACAGCACCTAACAACAACAACTTCAAGTCGAAGCTGAAAAAATTAAAACAAGTGCCCAAGAGTCAAAGTACAACCTTGAGTATAACCCACCTGAATTTAGAGACAACCTCAAAAATAGATTAGATGCATTGAACATTAATGACTGAAGACCAGATGAGTTGTGAAATGACGTCAAGGACTTCATACATGAAGAAAGCAAGAGGTCATTTAGAAGACAAGAAAGAAAGAAAAGACCAAAATAAATGTCAGAAGAGGCTCTGAAACTTGCTCTTGAATGTAGAGTAACTGAAGCGAATGGAAGAAATGATGAACTAAAATAGTTAAACAGAAGATTTCAAAGGATGACACAAAAAGACAAAGTATTATAATGAACTATGAAAAGATCTGCAGATAGAAAACCAAAAGGGAAGAAAGCACTC